TGCACCCCCTGGCTCAACAAAGAGGCTCCAAAACCTAGTCCGTGTGCTTCAGCGTCCACCAAGTGAATGCTCACTGTGTTACTCTTCTTCACAGCCAATGAGAAATAATACAACTAATAACCACGGTTTCTACCTGTCCTGGGCACCCCATGCTGCTCAGCAACTTTACAGACAAGTTCTGTAGTTCTCCTGATGCCCTGCAGGGGGCACTCCAACTTCTGCTTTGCAAGTGCAGAAGCTGGGCTGCAGGGTGGTTGAGCACACTGCCCTCCATTGCTTAGCTAGTGTCTTGAATCCAAGGCTGAACCCAAGGTTGTCTGCTTCCTAGGTTAAGTGGTTTGTGCTATGCCACCCTTGAGCAATATGTAGCAACGTAAAGTAGGTATAAAACATGCCCAAGGGAACCCAGCCAGACTAGACAGGGCTCGGTACACCCAGACCTCATTCCTAGACTCTGCTTCTGAGCCACGCTATGTCCCAAGTCCTTGTGGCCAGCAGGACTGATCTTGACTGGTTCATGCCCGTAGCAGTCACATCCTTGGGTTTGGGCAACAGAAACCCATTCCAGCCAACAAAAGCAAAGGGAATTTCTTGAAAGAATATTTAGGAGTCACAGAATCAGTGAGGCGGTTGGGACACTGGTAGTGGACAGCTCTAAAGACTGGTGTGTTGAAATGAAATCATCTCTTGCCAGAACAGATTGGGTAGGGATCTTTTTGTCCCTCTGCTCTGATTGTCCTGACTTAAGCCCCAGAGTATCCACTGGGGAAAATACAATTTCCTAAAAATATATCATGTACTGATTTACACTGCATTGCACACCTCCTGGGGGCACCATTTGCATAGATTTCAACATGAAGTGTGTGACCTGAGGTTGGCAAAGCACCAGCACTGCAAATGAATCCTTCTGAACCCTCTGTACTCATTAGTTACAGGGCCTACAGCTCTCTCTTCATACAATTAATTTTTTTGGACAGTGAGTTATTGCATCTTCCCCAGTTGCACCAAAAGATCTAGAACTTTGACATCTTTGTTTCTAATACCACGTTATCTAAAGCAGTAGTTTCCAATAAAATTCTTGCTTATATTCAGAACCAAATAGATATTTCCTTTTAGAAATGAATGGATCGAGACATTTAGTGCAATAAAATAGGAATGTCTTCCATCTGGCACTCACCATATATGCAGGTTATATCTTGCAAAGTTCCAGGAATTGACCCAGGGAAGGCAAGACAGATACGATGGGGACATGGTCACTTAACAGAAGCCAAAATCTGCGCTGAGAATGGATCTGCCTGAGGGAGCTCAGGTCTGAGACTGCTCTAGAAAGGCATTTTTAAAGGAGGATTATTGTCTTGCCCCTGACATTGTTCAATTTGGGCAGCTGCTTTTGTGCCAGCCATCCTCCCCCTGGCCCAAAGCCACTCTTAATGTGGACAGTTTGGTCTGTGTCCAAATATTCACTAAGCAGCAGTGAAGAGCCAGCTACTATGCAAGGCAGGAAGTCACTGCGTCATTAAAAGAACTTTAAACCTGACACCGTCGGTAAACCTCCATCCCCCTCCACCAGCCCTCTACCCTCATCACCAGACTTGGCTGCTCTAAATGGCTCATTTCCTCATCTAGCCTCTGTGTCAGCCCACCCCAGCCCTGACCCTTCCAGCAGTGGAGGGTTATAATAGTGGGAGCAAGAATGAAGTCGGTTGGAAACCCATGTCCTGACTCTGGCTCCGCTCATTCAGCAGCCTCATTCAGTAACCATATACTGCAGCTCTGCTGTCTGCTGGACACTGTGCAATGTTCTGGGAGGTGTGCAAAGAAGAAGACAGGCAAGCCCAGCTCTGTAAGCAAATGGTTAGGATTCTGGGTGGCCTGTGATTCCGATGGTTCACATAATATACCTGTCTGCTGCTGTATCCAGCACCTAGCACAGTGCCTGACCTATATTAGATGCATGCTGAGTAGTGTTGACTGGTGAATGAATGTGTTAATAGCAAGCACTTAATAAGAGCTTACCATGTGCCAGGTGCTCTCATAAGAGTTTTACATGGATTAACGCAAATGATGCTCACAACAACCCTGGGCGGTGGACATTATTATCACCCCATTTACTGAAGAGAAAACTGAGGCACAGAAAGGTTAGGTAACTTGCCCACTTAATAAGAAGAAGAGCTCACATTCAAGCCTAGATAGTCTGACCCCAGAGTCTGTGCTGTCTGCCACTGTACTGATAATGAGCCAAGTTCACTGTGCTGGGGAACCGGAGGAGGCAGTAGCCATCTGAGGAGCTGGGCAAGGTTTCATCCCTGCTGCTGACTTCCGTGTTGACATAGATGTCCTGCCCAGCACCACGATGTCTTGGTTGCTTCCCCTCCTTACCTTCAACAATCATTTTCATCACTGCACCTCGACCACCATCAACGCTACATGTTGTCACAGCCTGTAATCTGAAATCTCAGTGTCAAGCCCTCTGCCCTCCGACTTCATCAAATCCTTTTAACCCTAGGCTTGCTTGCAATAATGGAAACTCCACTTAACTGACTCCACCACTGTTTTTACTACCAATCACCCCCTCCTGCCTTCATTTTCTTCCTTACGCTTGTTAGATTCCATGGTCTATTATCTTCCACTTGCCCCTATCCCCAACTGCCTTGACTTTCTCTCCTTATCATTCATGTCCAGCAAAACTCCAACCCAACCATCAGTCCTCTGTATTCCTGCATCAGAGCTACTACTGAATGTTGCCAAGAAAATATACATCTGGGTCGACTTGAGTATATTTAAATTCATGGCCAAAAACCTCAAAAAAAAAAAAAAAGCACTCAACTCTGCCTAGGAATCGCACTAGGTTTCCCAGGTAAATTTCTTCCCCACCGTGCATGATGAACATTGGATACCTTCTTCTGCTCCTCAGCACACCACCGGCCCTCATCTCCACTTCTCTATGCCTGTCTGCCCATAACCTTCACTGAGAAAACCAAAGTAGTCTACCTGTAGCCGAACCCATTCTGCCCTGTTTTCTCTTCTTCATCTACGGAGGTAATTTTCATGCTCCTCTCAAAGGCAGATCCTTCCCTCCTACCTTCAGTGATTCCCTCTCTCCTGCATCCTCGATCTCTTCTTTCTATGCGTTCACTCCCTTGCATGGTCCAGTATCTTGGATAAAGACACAAACCATTCTCAACCTCACACCCTCCTCCAGCGATCACTCCTTTTTCTGCTTCCCTGTACAACAAACAACCCTACTTCCTCATCTCCATATCACCCTTCAACCCACCCCGCTCAGGCATTCGTCCCCATCTCTCCAAACGTTCTTGTCAAGGTCACTAATGACCTTCATGTTGCCAACTTCACTGCACATTTCTGTCCCTGTCTTACTCAAACTCTTGGTGATATCGCTCAACACAGGTGATCACGCTCTCCTGCTTGAGGACACTCATCTCCCACGGTCCCTGGTGACCCTCCACGCCACTGGCCACTCCTTCTTGCGCTCTGTGGCTGGCGTCTGCTCCTCGACCCACTCTCTGAGAGCTGCAGGGCCTCAGGAGTGGTTCTGGCCTCTCGCTCTCTCGTCTATTAATTCTCTCTCCCAGGAGATTGTGATCCTGTCCCGTGGCTTTATCTCTACCTACCTGTTAATGACTCCAATATCCATAGCCCCACTCCTACCTCTTCCCCCAAATTCTGGATTTGTACGTCCAACTGCTTTCAAAGACCCTTATTAACCATCCCTCAAAGATAGAGCTTGGTAGTCACCATCATGCATACTTCTGCCTCTGCAGGCTTCCCCATCTCAATAAATGGCACCCTCTATCTACCCAGACACTCCAGCAAAAACCCTGCCTGGCCCTCACTTTCCAAGTCCAGCTCATCACTCGATCACCTCTCTCCACACAGCCTTCATCTCACTAGTGTTTCTCCACCTGCCCCTCCAGCCCTCACCAATTCATCCCTCATCTCGGCCACTGCAGAGCCTCCACTCCCGGTCTCTCCCTCCGTTCTCCTACCGCAGAACGTCTCTGCAAAATGTAACTAGGTACCCAGACACTTCAGAAAGTTCATGGAAAGATTTGTATTATCTTCTGATTCCATTTTTCCACAAACTTTTTGAAGTACCCTTGTATTTTCACTTGTATTTTAACACCTTTCCCATGGCCTCTGGAATGAAATCCAAACTCTCTACCATGACCTCAAAGTCCCGAAATATCTGTCTCCCCTCGATCTTTCCAAAGTCCTCTCAACACGGTGCCTCTTGTTCACTCCGCAAACCCACCTCCCTGCTCTTCCCAAACTCTTTTCCATGCCAGGACCTTTGTCCTTATTCTGTGCCCTGAAATGCTCTTCTCCCCACTCTTTAAACGATTGGCCCACTCGTCTCCTTCGGGGACGCCTCCCCTGACCAGCCATCCTGCTGAACACCATGTCCACGGTTCTTAGTGTGAGCAAATATTTAATCAGTGCTTTCCAGACATAGTTATTACTGCTTTACATTGATTAACTCTTTCAATTCCTCACAACCCCATGAAGGGGACCTGTTATTAAAACAAGGGAAATGAGCCCAAAGAGATGACTGCCCAAGGTCAAGCAGGTGGTCTCTGGATTTAACCTCTGCAGCCTCGTAAGCCTCACACCGTCTTGCCTCCCGTGCACTACCTGTCTGCCTCCTCCTACCGCTTCCTACAGTCCAGATATTGTCTTGTGGAGTTAATTCTTCGTCATCATCCTCATTAGGATACAAGCAACGCGTGGGCAGAGACTGTTTTTCATCCCTGCATCGCCACTGCCTGCCACGTGGTCATGCTCAACAAATGCTAGCTGCGTGAATGAACGAATGAATGAGTGGTGGGTCCGGATCAAGAAATGAAAACACTGATATCCAAGGCTGCTGTTCTTCTAGCACCAGCCATTGCTACTCATCTGTGTGGCTGCAGACAGTATGAGCAAATCACTTTGGTTTTAAATGATTGAATAACATTATCTACGCTTTATGTATTTTTCAGAGCAGATTTACTATGCTGGCCCTCTCAATAATCCACGATTTGATATTCCTGAGGTAAGGTTTCGGTTTTCTGTTTTGTTCGATGACTCAGTTGTTGTGTTGGACAGTTTGTTTCTTGAGGGAAGAGAAGGAGAGAAGAAGGGGAGAAGCTGTTGCCTCAGAGCTGGTGCTTAAAAATGCTTGACACACTGGCCTCGCCATCTGGTATTAAACACTGTATGTGCCTTTGAACCTTTGGGGAGCTCCAGGTACAAAGTTCCTGCTGGGGGGGTGCAGGTGTCTTGTCTGGCAGGTTGCAGGGTCTGTGGGCTGTCCCTGCACTTCAGCTGTCTGGGGGTGCAGGAGACCCCCACGCCCGCTGGGATTCCTGCAGAGGGACAGAGGTATTCAGGGCCACAAAGGCTTAAGGGTCTCCTGGTACTGTCCTTTCACAACTACTCATGTGCCACCACCAAGTAAACAAAACACCCACATCCTCAGCATTCACCAGCAAGGCTCACAGCTAAGAGCAGAATGTTCCATTCATTCCTTTTTACCCAAAATAATGTGACTATTAAATGGCTGGACTCAAGCCAGTCTGACAAGAGAAATACATTTTCAATATGCTGCTACTGAGAGAATATTATGGTGCACCATGAAAAGGATCACAAAAATATAGTAATTTTAAATTTCTTTGCTTTCAACTTCATCCTTTCAGTCCTCCAAAGCTTGTATATGATTCTAGAAAAGGGTTTCCTCATTAAAAAAAAAAAAAAAAAAATCTGTCTAAGGTAGGTTCATTTCTGGGTGTGTTTCCCGTCTCAGCCTCTGGGTTCCTGAGCCAGAGCGTCTTCTCGATAGACCACCTGTATTTCCACTAGCATTTCTCTTGCAGCTGAGAAGTTTCCAGCATTTCTCCTCTGGAATTATCCAGAGTTTTCTCCTCAGGCCTTTCAATCTATAACATGAACATTTCACAAGAAAGGAAATCTCAACCTCTCTTCACTTCTAGGATGTGGGGCCTAAGTTCTCCCAGGTAGCTCTTTTTCTCCTTTAAATCTTTGCTACTTGAATTCTTTTTCTTTCCCTCTTTTTCTTCTGACCCTTCACTAAAGGAAGGTGACTTAAAACTTGCCAACAATTGATTTTTATTTTGCATTATTGGCTTTTTTGAAAATCAGTTACCTTTAACAATTGCTATAAAATAGAGAATAAAAGAACTTCTTAAAGTCGTAGGACCCCTTTGAAAGAAAACATACCAGAGACGTAGAAAGCTTTACTGCAATCATCTAGGATGCTTGTGGGGAGTGCAGTGCCTGCTCTCTGCTCTCTTCAACCAGGAAATATCACCCAGTGTGAGGGCAAGGACAGGAGTCAGTTCTCCTGACCCTGCGCGTGGACGCTGAAGCATCTACAGATTCTCTTTGCTTGGTCTGGGTCTGGGAAACAGAAACCCAGAAAGCTCCTGGCCCTGTCCCCCAGCCTGCTGACCCTACTGGGACACATCCAACATGTCACACATGCAACAAGTTACTCATGCAGCAAAGACAACAAGTCACGTATGCAGCAAGTCAGTGCAACATGTCATGTACGCAAGTTGATGTGACAAGTCACATATGCAGCAGAGGCGGCTGGAGCTCATAAATCCCAAGCTCCCTTCACTGGCCACAGACTGGCCGCAGCCAGCCCAGGCTTCCCTGGCCAATAGCCAGCCCAGAGCGCTTGGAGACTTTGCTTTCCTAATATGGGACAGAGACAGCATGAAGCCTTTTGGTTTGAAAAGACCATATTTCCTCCTCCAACCAAATTCCCCAGAGACGAGCTCTGGGCTAATGGTGGCCCCTGCCTAGCCAAAATATTTTCCATTCAGTGCTCAATCTTCAGTGCCTTGGTGTTTTTTTCCTTTCACCACACCCAGTCCCTTGGCCCAGATTGAAGTTCTTCCTGGAATCCTGTATCTGTCTATGCCTGTTATTTTCTGAGTTAGAATTTAGAAATCCTTTGGGCTCCCAAAGCATATGGACAGCATCGGTTTTCTGTTTTGTTCAATGTGTTCCCAGGGATGCAGCTACAAACTCCTAACTCACAAATTCAGAGCCTCCTCAAAGGCAGAAAGACTGCTGCTCTCGGCCCACTACCCCTACTCCTGCCTCCTGTCCTCGTAGGACACACCTCCACCTGCCTCCAGACTGGCCCAGTTTGTAAATATTCTTATTGTCATAGCAAAATATGTAGATCTTGTCATTCATGATCTGGAAGCTCTTCCTTCAAATACTGTATCTTTTCTTAAGCTCATAAAGCGATAATAAAAAATGCCTCTGGGTTTCAATAATTTTGTAGATGTGTACCTAAATGCACGTGGAGAGTTGAAGGAAAAGTAGATCGTGAGGATGAAGAGGATGGTGACAATGAAACACAATGAGATATAAATGCGAGCTGGTCTTTACTCGTAACTAATTCTCTAACTTGTACTGCTCTGCTTCACTTTCTAACACTGCTTCTAAAGTTACAGCCGCTCCGTATCTGAGCCATAAGACTCGTGGGAGCCTGTAGAATCCCACACTCCTCAAGTTGAGTGACACCTCAGTGCTGCCCTAATCAATCCTCACACCCAAGACACCATCCAGAGTGGAGTCTGGCTCTCTCGAGTAAATTGTGCTGTTGGGGAATCCGCTCCCTTCCAAGCCTCTGCTAATTGCTAGAAAGTTGTTCTCTTCTAACAAAAGCCGCCTCTCATGTAGCTTCTGCCAGTGCTCTGATTTATGCCTGCCCTCCGGCTTTATGCAGATCACACCCCTTTCCCCCTCTGGGTGACAGGCAGCTCAAGATGTGCCAGGAGTTTCTCGTGCCTCTTTCCCTCCCGGTCCCTCTGCCCCGCTGCCGCCACCCCTACCACCCCAGGGCGGCCTCTTCTCCAGATCGGAGGCTGCAAACCCGTCACCCCCACATGACCTGTGGGGCGCTGGGGCCGGGCTTGGGCAGCAAACAAAACAGACGTGGCCCAAGCCCTGGAATCTTCCTCAATCCTCACGTGGTGTGGCTACCAGACTGTCCCTCCAAGCGATGGCACGCCAACTGTGAAGGAAGGAAGCCCCCTATGGAGAGATGTTGCAGGCAAAGAAGCCCAAACAGCAGCAGTCTTTTTTCTGGTAGAGTGGCTGGCTGGTTAGTTCAGTTGGTTAAAGCACAGCCTTGTAAACCAAGGTTAAGGGTTTGGTTCCCTGTACTGGCCAGTCTCAAAAAAAAAAAAAAAAAAAAA